GGCGGTGGTGCGCGTGAGCCCCGAGGTGCCGCTGGCCGCCATCCTGCCGCTCATCTGCGCCAAGTGCGGCGTCAGCCCGGAGCACGTGGTGCTCCTCCGGGACGACGTGACCGGCGACGAGCTGGAGCTCTCCAAGTCCCTGAGCGAGCTGGGGATAAAGGAGCTGTACGCGTGGGACAACAAGAGAGGTGAGTCGTTGTCCCCCACCCACCCCGCGCGCGGCTGGGACGCTCGCTCTCCGCGCGTGTGCGCACGATGGGGACACGCGCGTGCACAGATGGGGATGCGCGCCTGCGGGCAGCTCAGAAGTGGTCCAAATCCGAGCCGGGGTGGACGGAAAATAAAATACATACACTGTAGTCATACCTCCTCCCCCAAGTCCATAGCGTGCCCGCTACCCCTTGTCCCCTGTGAGCTTCCAGGACATGCGTAAAAGTGGGGAAAGGTCAGAGGAATGCTGGGGCTTCCGCTCCAAAAGAACTTCTTGGAAACCACACGTGAACCATATTCTCCTAGATTTCCTTTTTAACTGCCGCTTAATATTCCCAAGTCTCAGCCGTTGCTCGTCATCAGAAGAGACGGCACAAATGCATTTCACTCCTCCCTGAAACCACCCCAACTGCAGTTCAGCCCCTCCAGGTAACACCATGTTCCATCACCACCCAGGCCAGGGACATCTTACTCCTCCCACGAATCTGGTACCCACCCGAGGCCCCAGTTAGGGCCGCTGCCAGAGTGACAGCTTGAGGCCGGGGTTGGTCGGAAGACTGACATCTTGTGTGAGCAGATTCTCCTGACTGACGGAAGGGCTGACTATTTAAACAACTGTCAGACCAAAAGAAATCTTTTTAATATTCCTTGACCTTAGAATTATTAAAGTGGACTTCACAGAAGTGTCTATTTGAATGAGCCCACATAAGAGCTCTTGGTTTTTTATTTATTCCACAAATACTGACCAGGTTGGCTTTTAAAATTCAAGTTTTCATGGCTTTCTACAGTTTTAAAAAATTTCCCAATTAAAAAAAAACTCTATTTTCTTATTACCCAATTTATTGTGAAATCAATGATCGTAGGAGACCCTCCTCCACCTTCCTTCAATCTCCTGGAGGGTTTGGACCTCAGGGCTCATTTGACATTTAAGAAAGGGTTTCAGCTCCGTCGTGTATTAGAACGTTGACTATTTATTCCTTCCAAAAGGAAAAAGCGTTCTGACACTTGAGAGTCACGCGTCTTGTGTTTTATCCAGTATCTTGTTAAAACTCACAACAAGATTGCTCTCAGGATCTGGATGTAGCGGGCATGACTGTCTGGTTCTGTCCATCCTGTTTAAATTTGGTTTTCTGGGACTCTTTGGAAACAAAGCTTTCATTTGGCCAAAAAAAAAAAAAAGAGAGAGAGAGAAAAGGAAGGCAAAACAAAGAGAAATCACTCCACATTTAAGCATGTGGAAGAAAAATTCTTCTGCAAACAAATGTTTTCTGTTATGTGCAAATCAGGATGCATCTTGACAGGTGTAAAAGCGGGCTCTCTGCTAAGGGCTGGCCCCCTCAAGCCGCTGGCCTTTTGGAACACGAGTGAGGCTCTGAGTGGGAGAAACCGCCCTGGCCGAGGGCTCTCTGTTCTCATCCCACGCCGGGCAGGACCCTTCGCTGCACTTGGGAAGATAGCCGCCCCTCCAGCCCCTGAGCCGCCCACTTCACTGCCTTGGGCACCCACCCGGGGACCCTCCCCCTGGGACTCCAGCAACGCCCCCCAGAAAATTAAGAGGCAAATACAAGAGCCCGTGGTGGACACTCCTTCCATCTGGACCATGCTGGACCGAAACCAGCTGTGAAATATTTGATTCATATCCCTGCCAAACGCCTCCATCCCATCCTCCTGATGGTCAGACTTTTTGAGAGGAGGGGGTGTGAGGGTTGTAGGCAGAGGCCCGCCCTCCCCTGGAATTCCTGTTGGTGGCAGCTTAATAAAGCGGGAGACTTCGGTGCCACCTGCTTCCAGGGTGGCACTTAGCAGCCTGGGCAGCTGCGGGATTGCAGGGCATGAAGACCAGGGGTGCCAGCCTGCTCTGTGCGGGGCCTTCTCCTGCGAGGGGCGCGGGGGTCGGGGCTTTGGTGCTGCCGCAGATGGTGAAGACGGCCTTCACTCTCTCCTTGCCTGCCTTTCCAGTTCTTCTGACCAAAACTCAGTCGGAGCCCGCCCTGAGCTGTCGAGGTGAGCCCCGCGCCGCCCCGCCAGGCTGCTCCCTGCATGGCTCGGGGCTGGGATGGTGCACGGGGAGACCGGAGGGGGTGTGCAGGCTGAAGCGAGGTTGTGGTTTGATGTCCTGCCTCCCTGGCTGGCTGCGAGCAGAATGGCCCTTGTGTGAGGATTTGCTGTGTGGTTCTGACTGATAAGGGACGAAGGGGGCTGTGGTAGCTGTCATTCTGTTGCGCACCGAGAACTTCAGGGCAGAGCGGGGGTCGTGCGCACAAAAGCATCCTTTCCTCCTCACCGGTGCTCACCTGTCCTCAAGGTCCGTGTGGGTTGTGCATCTAACCTTTTCCATCATAAATGATTAGTCCAGATTTTGCATTTATTTCTTGTAAATTTGATACATGTACGTGTTGCGAATCCCTATACACTTACACATGTATATATGCCTGCATGCATTTCCACAGACACACACACACACACATACACTCTCCAAGGGTTTCATTAAAATCCTAATGAGCATTAGTATAGGCTGTTTTGAGCGCAAAGCTCAATTGTGAAGGCTTTAGCAGTTCTGATTGCTCTGATCCGGGGACGTTGCCAGGCTGAGAACAGTGGAGAAGGTGGATCAGAGAGCGGGAAAGATTATTCTTTTGCCAGCCCCATGGACATGTGGCCCCGTGGACATGTGGCCCCGTGGTGGGGGACCAGCGCTTTGCAACGTGCGCGTTTCTCCACGAGGCAGGCCCGGCTCTCCACGTGCGTTTACAAGCTTGGTGACCGTGTTCTGGTCCCCAGTGACGCATTCCCTTCCCTAATCTGGAAAAGTGGACCGTTTGCATGAGCGGGTCCTTCAGGATGCCGGCATCTCCCGCCACCCCCCTGCACCCCTCAGCGCATCCGTCCTATTTGCTAAATCATTTTCAGGATTCAAAACAGTATTTGCTTTAAGGGTGAAGCGCCAGCTGTCCTGCACTGTTTTTTTAATATTGAAGTTTTAGTAAATGAAAGTCAATCAAAACACAATAAATTCCACACTCAAGCGGCCAGACGTGTGGAAGTGTGGGTTCTCGACCATAACTGTGTATCTTTTCCAATCTGGCTGCGCACCAGCCGGGCCCGCCCGAGGGAGGCTTGGCTGATGGGCACTGCGAGGAAAACCACATGTCCTTGCTCCGCTCCCACGGCCATCGCTCCGCAGCGCCTGCCGGTCGCAGAGACCTCGCAGGACGGCCCCATCAGGCCAGAGTCGCCAAGGCCTCACGTCTAAGATTAGGCCGTCTGCTTGGGGCCCAGGCTGCAGGCAGCCTGTCAGGCCAGCCCTGTGCCAGGACTGGCCCACAGCCTCCGTGCTGGGGGTGGTGGCCGGCCACAGCCCCTCTTCAGGGAGAGAAGAAGGAGGCTCGAGTTCTGATCCGGTGACATCCTGTCTGTGGTCGGTGAGACAGCTTGCCTGCCCATCAGGTGTTCTCCCCATTCATCTCCCAGGCACTATGATCTCCTGCATTTTCAGCTCCGTGTCTCCTCCCAGGCAATTCCAGAAGCATCGGAGGAGCGAATGCACACCTTGCCGCACACTGTGGTCCACATGCACCACTTGGCTCTGCAGTGTGGTGCACTGCAGGCTGTGTGCCTCACGGGGGCTTTGCTGCCATTAACCAGGGACCCCACGTGCACAGGGGTGTGCACAGGGATGCATGCCTCGGGGCCGAAGCCGGTCCACTCGCTGGCTTGGGTGCTGTGTGATGTGGAGGCTGCTGATTGGCTCGACTGGAGCCCCCATGCCGGAGCCAGAGCCCTGGCCCTCATCACCAAAACCGGAGCTTCTGCCACGGACGGAATGAAGATATACACGTGCCGGGTTTCCGCTTGGCTGCGGGGCCAGCATTGTGTTAATGTGTGTCCCAGATGCACTGATTTCCAGGTCTGCCTTCTCTCGTTGGAACGTGAGCTCCTAGGGTAGCGGATGAGAAGTTCATTGATGGGTCCCTCATGGGGGTTGGCATTTTGATGGCAGCGTTTGTGAAGTCCCAGTCCATGTCTTCCCCCCAGTGGATCGGCGGGGCGGTGGGTTTACCAGCAGACGGCAGGGGTGTGGGGAAGTTCATCTTTCAGGCCTTCAGAAACCCCTGCATCCTTTCTCCTCTGGCCGAATCCGTGCACCTTGAGGGAGAGTCTGGAAATCAGGAAAGCAGGTCAGCAGTAGCCAGGGTGGCACTGGGATGTGGCTCAGCCCCAACCTGCAGATGGGCAAACTGAGGCTTGGAGTGGAGAAGCAATATGCCCGCACCTTGGTGCCCTTAACCTCTCCTCCTCTGGTTCTTTTTGACACAGCTGTTAAGGTAAAATGACACATGCAGTCACTTTATTTTTCTGTTGGGCAGGACAGCCCGAGAATGTTCTGATGTACTGGTTGGTTTTTTTGTTTCCGTACGGGCTGCAACCACAGCCCGAAAGAAATGCCACCACCATCACTAAAGGTTGTGAAACCCTTCAGCGATGTCATCAACCCAGTCGGAGGCTTTGACGTGGCTCGAAATGCTTTGAAAGAACCCGCTGATGGTTTTCGTGTCTTCTCAGCACCAGAATCAAGTTTGAGCGTGGAGGATTCATTTGTTGAGAGTTTTAAAGGGAAGCGTGTAATCTCTTGTTTCCTGGGCCAAAAAGTAACTTCGTTCTTTTTTCTTTTTTTTTTTTTTTTCCCCTAGAAACCTTTAGAAAATCATCCTTTGGCAGCGATGAGACAGATAAAGAGAAGAAAAAAATTCTGGGATTTTTCAAAGTTAATAAAAGAAGCAGCAGTAAGGTAATTGATCAAACACTCGATTGAGTCTCCGCGATGTAAAGATGGTTTCTTGAGATGTGTGTCCTCGGCCGATCTTGGCATTTTTCTGGCGATGCTTAGGAATATTAATTCCTTCAGGGAAAAAGGAGTATTTTCTGAACAATATCTAAAATTCCGTGGTGCCAGATAGACTACAAATGTCTCAGGGAAGCAGAATATTAAGAATGGAGAAGTATCGTGACATTTAAAACTCAAGTGAGTCTTGTCTTATCTCCTTAAAGGAAAAAAAAAAGGATATGTGTGTATAAACTCTCTGTAGAGGATATACTTAAAAGGATGTCATTTTGGCTGAAGTAGATGAACGCAAATATTTTTTCTTTGGGTGTTTCTTTCTTTTTTTTTTTACGTTTTTTAAATGGAAGCACATTTGACTTAAAATGTGTTTGTTTCAGGCATACAGCAAAGTGACTCGGTTACACAAACTTACATATATATTCTTTTTCAAATTCTTTTCCGTTATGTTATTACAAAATCCCGAATATAGTTCTTTGAGCTTCGCAGTACGTCTTTGTTGTTTCTCGCTTTTATATACAGTAGTGTTTACGTGTTAATCTTAAACTCCTAATTTATCCCTCCCCCCATCACCCTTTACCCTCTTAACCATAAGTTCGTTTTCTATGTCTGTGAGTCTTTCTTTGCTTTAAAAGTTTGGTATCTTAATGTTTTACTAAAATGTGATAATTTTGTGTCATTTTGACATTATTTATTCTCCTAACACAGTGGTTCTGGAAAGTCTGTTAGAGTCACCTTAAGACCGGATTTAACAATTAGATTCGTGGGTCATGGCCCCAAAGGTTGTCATGTGGGAGGTCAGGTTGGGGCCCCGGAGCTGTGTTTTCCAGTGACCCCTTCCTGGAGGTCCCCTCACCATCAAGAAAAGCCTTCTTTTAAGCAATGGACAGTAATGTGTCATTACTGATCACCTTTTACGGATAGAGAGTGAGATATTTAGTGACTTATTTCCATGTACACCCAGTCAGTGATCAACGGAATTTAAAACAGAAATTCTCAAATCCTTAAAACGCAGAAAACCTACTTCATTGATCGTTTTCTGAGCTGACTCACCCGCTCAGTCCCACTTCTGGGTCCATCTTGCTTCTAAGCAACAGTGATGCTTTGGGGGCAAAAAGAGAGGACGAAAACTCATACTCACAAGTCATGAATTTAAAATTGAGGTTTTCAGATCCGTGAGCACCGGTGAGGGGCTGAGGGATGTGGCCGGGGGGCCACCACTGTGCAGATGCTGCAGCCTTGGCGGGGGGCCGGGCTGGTGGGCTTTGCCTTAGCAGTTGCCGAGGATGGTCTGTGGGAACCTGCAGTCACCTGGAGGTGACACAGAGCACGTGCTTGTGTTCCAGGCCCCGCAGATCGGGCAGTCGGGGGCGGACAGCGATGAGGAGGCCAAGACCACACTGAGAAGGGGCTCCAACGTGAGTACTAACATCTGCAGGGGCTTCCGCTAACCCGTCAGCGTCTCCCAGCTTTGCACGACTTCCAGAGAACACAATTATCCGTCGATTTAGTTGGTTTTGGTTTCTTGGTTTTTGGGTTTTTTTTTTTCAGTCCAGATAGATGCACAGAGCTTCATGTGGCTTCTTTTCCAGTTCCCCGTGTTATTTTGGAAGGATGTGGAATATTTTAGTTCCTCCTTCTCCCTGTCCCCTGCTCCCCCTCTCCAGGCAGCATGATCAGGAGGGTCCTTTGTTAGGGTCACCGGGGGGCAGTTAATCTGGAGCTGCCCCCGCTGCATTCTCAGGAGCAGTGGATGATGTTGGAGCTTCACATGTGTTTCTTAAATTCTGCAACTATCTATCGAAAGAGTATTTTATTTATTCATTCGTTCATTCATTCATTCATTTTTATTGAAGTATAGTCGGTTTACAGTGTTGTGTTAATTTCTGGTGTACAGCATAGTGATTCAGTTACACACATATATTTTTCAGATTATTTTTCATTATAGGCTATTATGAGGTATTGAATATAGTTCCCTGTGCTGTACAGTAGGACCTTGTTGTTTATCTGTTTTATATGTAGTAGTTTGTATCTGCAAATCCCCAACTCCCAGTTTATCCCTCTGTCCCACGCTTTCCCACTCTGGTAACCACAAGTTTATTTTCTATTCTGTGAGTCTGCTTCTGTTTTGTAGATAAGTTCATTTGCGTTACTTTTTAGATTCCATATGTAAGTGGTACTCTGTGGTGTTTTTCTTTCTCTGTCTGATTTACTTCGCTTAGAATGATGATCTCCGGTTCCATCTATGTTGCTGCAAATGGCATTATTTTATCCTTTTTCATGGCTGAGTAGTATTCCATTGTATAAATATACCATGACTTCTTTATCCAGTCATCTGTCAATGGACATTTAGGCTGTTTCCATGTCTTGGCTATTGTAAATAGTGCTGCTGTGAACATTGGGGTGCAGCTGTCTTTTTGAATTAGAGTTCCCTCTGGATGTATGCCCCGGAGTGGGATTACTGGGTCATGAAAGACCGCGATCTCATCTCCTCCTCCTCTCAACACCAGGACACGAGTGCAGCCTTCCTGATGCAGACAGTCCCCGCCTCCAGAGGCCACGTGGCTGATCAGATCTGTTGATGTCGATTTCTGTTTCCTGAGGCGTTGTCTGTTCGTGTTTCTATTTCTTTATGTCCACTACATCTTATTCACGTTCGCTATTACCCTCTCATCTGTCAAGCGTGTTGCTGACGTAACGCTTCTTAAGAGCACTTCTCCTGTTTTTATAAGTTTCCCCCAAGCCGCTGATGCCTGGCTAAGTGAAGGCATCTGCCCTTGGGGCGGAGAGCTGAGCTTTCAGTCCCGCACGGCACAGGGGACCTCTCGACTTTCCTCATCTGTGTAATGGGCACAGCGCCACCCACCTGGCAGCATCCTTGTAAGGCTGAGCCGTCATAGGGCTCCACTCACCCCTTTAGAAGCTTCCCGAGATGGTGAGTAAACTGGATCAGAGCTTTATTAGAAACTCTCTGGGCATTATTTTTTATTTTTCCTTGAGAAAATGCAACCAGTTCCTTATATCTGTAATTTGAAGAGTCTGAAGAGAATAGATCTGTATTTTTAAAAACTGCTCCCAATATAAATGGCCACAGTAATCAGATCTTTCCTGGATAGATTACTTTTATGTAAACTGACATTCAGTCTATTCCAACATATGTCTTCATTTTCTTTTTCTTTTCTTTTATTTCTTTTATTCTATTTCATTTTCGGTGAGGGGAGGTACTTAGCTTTATTCATTGATTTACCTTTAGAGCAGGTGCTGGGGATTGGACCCAGGACCTCATGCATGCTAAGCACGCGCTCTACCCCTTGAGCTACACCCTCCCTGCTATGTCCTCATTTTCTTAATCGAAGGATCCTTGAGTCACAGTGAAGACAGTCACCTCAAAAATCATGTCAAGCAGTTTTCCGGGAAGTCTGCGTTTTCCAGGAAACTGTCCCTTCTCATAAGCACACATCCAGACCCGGAGACACATGGAGGGGACCCCATCCCAGTGGGTGGTGGGAGTGGCCCTCAGGTCTCTGTCCCCACCCACTGCTCTTTTCCTGCGTCAGGTACACAGCAGGATGAACTGTGTGCATTGTTGGAACAAGGCATCTGAGCCCGTTTGCAATCCAGCGCCCACAAATGCCACACAAACACACACACACACACACACACACACATCCCGTGCTGTTGGCTGGCGTGGAAAATAATGCTGTGAAGCAGGAGCAAAGGGACCCGAGTTCTAATCCTGGTTCTGTTCTCCATCTGACTTTGGGCCGATTGTAACATGGACTGTAAGGGGCTGAATGTTTTTTGCCTTCATTTAAATGCTAAAAA